CCATACCTAGCGTGCTAGCCAGGCCACCCAATATGTTTGACACCTGATTCTTTACCAATGCGGCGGGATTGTCCACATCACGGATAATAACCCTGGTCTGAAAAAGCCGCCAAGTGGTCTAGGTTAGCAGTTGCACCAACAAGTCACTTCATGCGGAGCTTCCTGCTGAAGAATGTGGCACTGGGGTTGCAAGATCCAGGGGTCTTATCAACTGACCACTCAGAAGCTCGAGATATTTCATCCATTTTCCGAAGATGTGCGAATTTCCGCTGTTGACCGTCGAGAGCTCCCCCCTCTCTCATAATCATACTCTTCGCTCTTTGTTTATACAGACAACTCGTGTAGACGGTGAGTCGTCGATCGCACTTCGTCATAATGTTGGGCACTATTCTTGCCTTCGTGGCGCTGTTAGCCCTTTATCTCATCGGCAGCGCCATCTACAACGTCACTCTCCACCCGCTGGCCGATGTGCCCGGCCCCAAGATCTGCGCCATTACTCGAATTCCATACTGGCTTGTCGCATTGAAAGGTGAAGATATAGAATGGATGAAGAGCTTACATGAAGCTTATGGCCCTGTCGTTCGTTTCGGCCCTACGGACCTGAGTTACACGGCCGGAGAGGCCTGGAATGATATCCATGGGCCCAAGGTGACTGAAAAAGCCCAAGAGTTCTCAGTTCAGCCTGTGAATGGTGCGCCATATCCCAACAGCTTAGGTTCCCAGATTCAACTTTGGCACATGAGCTAACACCAAATACCGATGGGTTGCAGGCGTCCCAAGTATGCTTACGGCGAACACCGAAGATCATGCTCGAGTCCGTCGCCTCTTCTCACCTGCCTTTTCGGAACGTGCGCTGAGACAACAAGAGCCGCTGTTCCGGAAGTACGTGGACCTTCTGATGTATAAGATCAGCGAGATTGGCGAGGAAGGAAAAAAGGCCGTGGAAATGACCCAACTGCTCAACTTCGCAACATTTGACGTCATGGCCGAACTTTGCTTTGGCCAGCCCCTTGGCCTGCTGGCGAAGAACGAATACAGCCCCTGGGTCAGATCAATCTTTGAGTCGCTCAAGATGTTGCCCATCGTCTCTATCATCAACTACTATCCCATCCTAACTACCATATTTAACCGCTTCGAGCCAAAGTCTGTCGTGGAGCAGCGTGTCACTCACTGCAAGCATTCAGAGGATCGTGTGAACCAGCGGTTGCAGGATGGCTCTGACCAGCCGGATGTCTGGAACCTGGTTTTGGCGGCGAAGGAGGGCAAAGGCCTGTCTCTCGAAGAGATGCATTCGAACTCGGAAATTTTCATGCTTGCTGGATCGGAAACAACAGGTAAGAAAATATCGTAATCTGTGGGCTTGAGGGAAAGCTGACTGAGTGCACTAGCTACACTTCTTAGCGGTTGTCTTTACAATCTGCTCACCTACCCCGATAAAATGAATACCCTTCTTGAAGAAATTCGAGGCAATTTCACAAAGCTGGATGACCTCACGTTCGAACGTCTTCAAGAGCTGAAGTACATGAATGCCTGCCTGAAGGAGGCGCTGCGCGTTTATCCCCCGGTGCCGATCGGAAGTCCCAGAGTGGTGCTCCCAGGTGGACAACAGATTCTTGGCAAATGGGTGCCTGCTGACACGCGCGTGTCTGTCCACCACTGGTCGACGTACAAATCCGAGTCCAACTTTAAGAACGCCGACACTTTTACGCCAGAGAGATGGCTCAAGACGGACCCCACCTACGCCGGAGATGCGCTGGAAGCTCACCAACCGTTCGGTTTCGGGCCGCGTAACTGCCTGGGCCAAAACATGGCGATGCACGAGATGAGACTCATTTTGGCTACTTTGCTCTTCTCATACGACCTCGAGCTGTGTGAGGAAAGCCGGGACTGGAAGAACCAAAAGGCATTTGCGCTCTGGATCAAGAACCCATTGATGATCCGCGCAAAACCATTGGCAACACAAACTAGATTGAAAATTTGAGGTAAATTCCGTCCGCTTCGCTTCGGCTCTGATCAGTAGTACCTAACACCGATGGACACAACTCAAGTTGCAATGGATACGTATACTCTTCTCTCGACCAATGGAATCGTCAATTAAGTGACGTCAGATTATTATTGTGGTTCTGAGACATCCAAGGGATCTAACCGGCGGGATGCTGACGATGGCGGGAGATCGACATTTTAGATCGTGTTAGTCCAAGCGCGACCTCGGACACATTTCGTCGACTTTTGGGCTTGACCACAATTATAAAGCAGCTCACCGATTTCTTTCTCTTCCGCATGACACTTTTTGCTCTGTTAACATGGACCGCAAAATAACAATAAATTCTTGTAATCAAATCATTTAACTATTCAAACAAAATTTTGCGCGATACCTGGAACTTTATCGTCCAGAATAGTCACAAACCTCAAAATGACGAAGGTTACCTCTAGACGTCTTCAAATATCGTCTTACATAATATACGAATACTACGTTGCCAGAGCTTCGAATTCTACTTTACCGAACCTCCTCTTTTTACACGGGTTTCCCTCCACTGCGACCGACTTCCGCCAACAACTAGAGCACTTCGCCTCCCTGGGTTACGGTGTCATCGCACCCGATCTTCTTGGCTACGGCGGAACTTCCAAGCCAAAAGACCCGCAAGAATACACATGGCGCAAAATGAGTACACATATCAAAGCCATACTGGACGCGGAGAACCTCCACACTGTGGTAGGCGTAGGCCACGATCTGGGTTCATGGTTCCTCAGCAGGCTTTACCACTTTTACCCTTCCCGGTTCAGGGGCTTGGTGTTCTTAGACGTCGGATACTCTGTACCCGGAGAGAAATTTGATGTCGAGATGATCAACCGAATGACAAAAAAGATGACTGGCGAAGAGAGATTTCGATACTGGGATTTCTTTACGGATGATGAAGAGGTGGCCCTCATGGATCGAAATGTCGAGTCTGTGATATCTCTTATGCATGCTTCACCTGAAGTCATGGCTGCGAATCTCGGGCCGCCTGGAAAGGCTCGAGAATGGGTCTCCTCTGCAAAGATTGCGCCAACCCATTCTTTTGCCGACGGAGATGTTCGGAAAGACGAATACTTCCTGACAAAGGTTGCTTCGTTCAGGACAGGTGGATGGAAAGGCCCAACAAACTGGTACAAAGCGCTCCGAAACAACTTGTCTTTTGAAGATGAGAAGGATATGGATAAAGGGCTTGAAGTGCCCGTGTTACTAATCGGCTGTGGAGGAGACGAAATGACTGTTGCTTCATTGCAGGATCAGATGACGAGGCCGTGGGCAAAGGCCGGGTATCACTTCGAGGTGCTCGAAACAGGACACTGGGTCATGCATGAAGATGAAGAGGAAACTAATCGATCGCTGCAAGAGTTTCTTGAGAAACTTGAGTGAAGTTGACATCACCATGTCCAAATATCATTTGGCCTTTGTTTAATTTGACAAAAAGAAAATCAGACCCTAAAGATGAGTTTAACGCTCAATGTGCCTCAAGACGTTAATGAGAAATCTCAAGACGCCTCATACCTAGCGTCATATCTCATCAAGCACGACGGCCCAGAAGGCTTTTAGTTCGGCCTGTTGTGCTTCATTTCAAGCTCATGGATAATGCCTAATTTAAAGCGGACGAAGTCGTATAGACAAGGCTAGGAATATTTTCCACCGGATCAACGTGAGTTGAAATAACGACGTCATCACTCAGAGACGAGCCATGATACCGTACCGCCAGCATGCTTGTAGCAGATCTTGAGCCACCAGCTCGGCTCCCTCGGTTCTTCAAGCCAAAAAACGTCTATCGCGGGTGCCGAGAGACTGCAGGTCGACCCTTCTTGATCCACCGCTGAGCAAAGCTACTCGAACTTGCTCATTGGTCAGGTCGATTGAAAATCAAGTCTAAAGACAACCCTGCTGAGTGAAGATATACTGACCTTCGTTCCCGCCTTCAGGTATACCTGATTATAGCACGGACGGCGGATCCTGTGCTAAGCTTTTTTGAGATCCCTTGGCCTTGAAGAAAAAAGACTTGGTTCAGCGACAGGCCTTTTTGCTCTATCCACACTCGAGACCTCGGCTAGGAGACCCAGAAGGAGTTGAATGAGATGAGCTTAGCTGTGGCTAAAAATACACTGTGGGCAACCAGTGCTAGGCGGTGTGCTCTGGCCATCTCCATTTCGATCATCAAGCAATTATTGGCCATGAGGTAATCTTATAAAAGGCTAATGTCTAAGGATAAGAATTGCAAAGACATTAAAGAGGAATCTTCATTACTGCGATTTCTCGAGGGATATAGATTGGTATCGGCCGTACAGCTTTATCCTCTGGCTCCCCGCTAGACTTTGTCGATCCACACCTGCATGTAGCTATCGGAATCCATACAGAAACCATCTTTGTTAATGGCAAGTCGCGAATTCATCGGGCTCTCAGATAGACCATCATGCAAGCTGTGCTGCGCTTTCGATCCGCAAGCCCCGGAGTAACCTTTCAACGCGGTCGCAACCCCGCTTGTGGGATCCGTCTTGGCCTTCGGACCCGGTCGTGGCAGGCAGCAGCTTTAGATAGGCGGGCCCGGAGTCGGCCATGGCCTGAACTTTGCATCCATCTAAGGAGGCTTGCTACCGTTTGCCTGTCTTGTACTCCGGAGACAACCGGGAACTACACCTTCAGGAGACCGTGCATTGGCTAGTGAAAATCTGCCAATCATGAGTCTGGACACAATTTCACACTCCAAATTTCCTTTTTGTCCTTGGTCCTAGCTTAGGTATGAATGCTTACCACTCTCAGCCACAGTCGGCCAGAGCTCTGACGATGCCATCAAGCAAGGAGAAACAGTGGGATTATGGTATTCGAGCCGGTGTTCTGACACTGTGGGACTGGGGTGGAATGACAGCCAAAGAGATTTGCGAGAAGTATGGAATGCCCCTGCGGACTTTCCACGCGATACACAACAAAGCTCTAGCCCGAGGATGGGGACCAGGTCAACCGGTGCTAATTGCTCATGTCGAAGACGGAGCTCGCTCCGGGCGCCCGAAGACGAAAGGAGACGGCTCTGACAGGCCCCTCGAAGGTGTGGCTAGTATCGACCCAGTCTCTAGCCAAGGGACGTAGAGACAAACTCCACAGTCAAGTCTGGACGGAATCAAATCTATGTGAGCAGTTTCTGTACCTCGTGTTGAAGACATATGGACCTAACCCCATCTTTCAAAAAGCCTGCTTCATATCCGCCCGGCGATACTTGTTGCGGCTCGCGATGAGTGGAGGCGTGCTGCAATCTTAGCAACGACAGGAAAGCCTTCGCTTGGGTGTATTTGGAGACCTGACCACGCAAGTCGAGAGACTCGAGGCTGCAAGAAGATAGCTAGTACGGATAGACCAGGTGGGCATAGGAGTAGGCATTTGTTATCGAGCATAAAGGCATCGCCATGTTATGTCTCCTTGTTTAAGTGAACCTTATCACCTGCCTTCAACGATTCGTCGCTTTCTTTTCTTTAACTCCTGACGTCCAAAGGCCCGACAGATTCCCTTTAGCAACAAAAATTCAAGCATGATAGGCACCCGCTTGCTCGCAGCCGTCTCAACGACTATGTTCTTGTTCATGGAAATAGCCACGAGAGACCACCCTCCTTCGCGTATCAGAATCCGGACGCGGATGTCAGTCGAGGCTCCCTGACCAAGTACATGAATTCCCGTGATAACATCACAGAGTACATGCTGGAGTGTCGACGGGCATTTCCTCCAGTCTCAGACTAGGCCAATAGTGCTGCAATTCTCAAGCGTCAGGATGAAGGGCCTGGTGCGGGGGCCCTTCTTTGTCCCTGAATGCCTACAAACAATACAGCATCAGGAGCGCTAATCAGAAATTCAGCCCTACCCAGAGGGCACACGTCGCGAAGCTGGTAAAGTTAACCCACAAGGCAGGCGACCGCATTAGCGCCTTCAAGACTTGGCCTAACCCCTGCGATGACGTGGGCACTGAAGACTTTGCGAAAGTCTTCGACACTTTGACGGGTGACGCTGGCAACGTTGTCAGGTTTTGCAAAGCCCACGTAATTTCAGGAGGGTTGTCGTAGGAAGGGAGATACTGCATATCTTCGAGAGTAGTGTGAGATTCGGAATGCAGAAGAAGGCATTGCTTGACTCCATTTTCTGGATAAACATAATATAAGTAGAAAAGCGAACTAATGGTAGAGGTCAAAGAGGTTATAGTAGCAACAACGACAACGCATAACCTGGGTATTCTAGCTGCCTAATATAGTCATAATACTCAAAGTAGCCAGCGTTTTCTTCATAACTGCAATGTAAAGTGGGTGCGTAAATTTCTTACATACTTAGTCACACTAACCCTGGCTCTACTCATGACTTAAGGAGGGCGGAAGCTGTGTTGACCAGGTAATCAGATTGACCCGCTCAGATAAACAGCCCTCAATGGTGTTACATAAGTTCATGGTAAAAGACTAGATTTCTCATGAATGAGGGATTAAACTGCTTCGTCTACCCTGAAAGAAGTATAGGACGCTGGCGCTGGAGCTCGCAAAACCCACCTCTTCTCGGAATCCAAGTCCCGATGCCAGAACCGATTGGTGGAAGGGATTCGAAATTTCGGAAGAGTACCACACTGCACCTGCTTCAGATAGCGACAAGGACACAAGAGCTCAAAAATACGAGAGTATGATAGCTTCTCTAAGGGACGAACCTAAGAGGAGATAGCCTAGATAGGCTGCGATTAAAAGCCTCGTCTATAAAATACATCACGAGCTTCGAACTTCCATAGAGATGACCGCCCATCCTACATCGCTTCAAGAAAACTTACAGTCACTTCTCCAAAATGAGAATCACCACCACCTTCGTTTCCCTTCTCTCCCTTACTGCCAGTACGATGGCGAGCCCAATTCCAGAGCCAGCTGCTGCTCATGTACGTCTCTCCCAGCCGCACGATCTGCTAGTTCCTCTTAGAATCTAGACAATCGATATCAGTTCTGTCGCTAACGTATGCCATCAAACAGAATCCACGCGCTGCCTGCCCAGCCCAAGTCAACAGCGCCTGCAGCAAGTACAGCAACGCCAATGGCCAGAGACAATGCCGAGGCGGCCAATGGAACTGCGTTCATCTCAACCCGGTCACTCTGGATGGGAATTTTGTCACCTATACTTCAACGGGTGTTTCTTGTTCTAAGAATGGAGAATTGTGCTCCTGAATACTGTGAATGACGTCAATTTGTCGTATCTCCGATGTCAAGAGGACGCGCATTCTATTGGGCTTTGAAGTCACACCTTACTTGAACGGACGTCGATGAGGTAGCCACTAGAACCTCCGGTTATCGCATGCTGAACAGACAAAGACGGTCATTTGTATACAGAACCATTTGTAATTACAAGATAAAAGACTGCTCGTCTTCATTGATATGTAATCGAAAAGTCAAGTGGATGTTCTGTACGAGAAGTTCCACAACATCAGTAGTAGTAACGACACCCTCGCCGGAAGGCCCTTGTTTGATACAGGGAAAAAGTGTACGAGGAGACTTCGATTCCCAGTTTCTCAATTGGCGACTAAGATGTTAAATCGTGTGATACAGTGATAGACTGTAGGACATGGTACCTATCATTACATGTAGGTTTACTCAAACAAAACCCTCCACTTTTGATACCACTTGGTTCTTACCGGTGCAGGCTGTTCTGCAGCGAAGATCTCGTCTAAGCCAGACTTCAGGTCGACATCCATCGGATTAAGTACCCAGGGATCTTGTCGTCCCACAGTGAACTTGTGCCCGAAGAAAAGCAGCAAGAAGATTACCACCCCGATGTACGACGTAAAGAAGGAAGAGGTGTTCCACTGTCCTGCGAGGAATACCTTGAAACCATTGATTAAAAGCAGTAGACTGAAGCCGAACAAGCTGAACATGCTTGAGTAGGGCTGGAAGCGGGAACGAAAGGGGATGTCTGTAATGCCTTGTGCATCTGATGCCTTGCGATATCTAAAGTAGATAATGCAGCAGCAAATCCAACTTTGATAAGCACCTGTATTGATCAAGTTGACGAACCAGTTGAACACGGTCGCACCAGTCGAAGCAACGTTGAGATACGCCAATAATGAGAATGCGGCACTGGCTGCCGTGGCGTAGTATGGGACACCTGACTTCGTACAGCGGGTGAAGATCTTTGGCGCGTTGCCTGCAAGGGCCATCGAGTAGAGTGCGTGGCTAGCAAGGTACTATTCAAGTTTACACGGATTAGAAGATATTCGAGGACCTATTTCAGGAGCAGGGAGGGAAACATATACCAGATAGGAGTTGCCTGCAGACCAAGCACTCAGCACGATCACGACGTTCACCACGCTGTCTAGGCCCTTGATACCTGCCTCCCTGATGCCAATAGCCCAAGGAGAAGCACCAGCACCTTTGCCACCGCTGAGGAGGTTGGTATTGTTGCTGCTGACAATGATCCCCACAGCCAGAGCACCAAGAATGTAGAATGTGATGAGGCGATAGAAGTATCGACGGGTCGCAGTAGGAATATTACGGCGAGGGCTTTCCATCTCTCCGCCGGTGACGACAAGAAGTTCCGGCGCAAACGCGAACGCAAATACGGAGAAGGTAATGGTCGAGACAAATGCCACCAGACGCCCAGAATCTCCCGTCACGATGTATTCTTTGACCGGCCCTGGATTAGACCAGTTCGAAAACCAAAGAGGTTGGTGCGAGGGCCCGCCGCCAAAGAAGAGTACAAGGGAGAGGATGAGCAGCCCGATAATACCAAAGACTTTCATGCTGGCGAACCAGAACTCAGCCTCCCCGTAGACTTTGACGGGGAAGCAATTGAGGGCAATCATGACGGCGCCGATGAGCGTCAGCCAAAACGCAATGTGTAGAGGCGGCGACCAATAGTTGATGACAATGTAGGTCGCAGTGATCTCGGCTGGAACCGTGATGGAGAAGATATACCAGTATACCCAACCCAGCGTAAATCCAAGACTGCGCGAGAAAAATCGTTGGCCGTAGTAGGCAATTGAAGAGCCGGGGACTGGAAGGTAGGCACTCATTTCGCCGGTGGCCGTTGCCACTCCGTAGAGCAGAAGTGTGATGCTGATGTAGGAGATGAGGAGGAACAGGGGCCCGCCCATATTCAGGCCCTGGCCGACGCCAACGAAGAGGCCAGTTCCGATTGTGCCCCCCAAGGCGATCATTTGTGCATGTCGAGACTTGAGGCCACGTTGGGTCGAGCCGTGTTGTTGTCCCTCAGGACCTAGCACCCCTCCACGTACAGACTCCATAGGACGGAGCTCGACATCGGTGTCGGCGATGGCTGGGGACTTCATCTTTTCGGTGTCGTAAGATACTGGATTAGACATTGCGGCCTTGTAGATGTCAGTTGTACAGACGTTCGAGTTATCTAAACGAAGTTCAGGACTGAAGAGTAAACAGCCTTCTGTAAGAACGAAGTAGGCAATCCACGGAGATTAAACCCCTACCAGACGTTATTGTAGTAAGGTTTTGATCCGCAACCGAGTTGATATAAATCAAGAGGACCAAAGGGAATGTTACTTAAATACTTGAGTCAAGATGAGGAGGGAAATGGAAGTGACTTGAAGTCGAGCAGAATTTTGAAACGCTGCTAACCAGTCCATTACGGGGTACGCAGCAGTAAAACTATCGTTGGTTTGCGCATACATTTCCGACTTAGCCCAATACCATGGGCGCGGGTATCAATCTTGGTCTGGAACGTTTCCCGAGGATTATCTGGAATGGTTCCCAAGGCTATCAGCTTCATTGTACTTAGAACCTGGCGTAACTCATGATACGCTGGGGTTAGCTTGCACTAAGGCTGATAAGGGAGGCTAGGAGGTTTTGTTGTTGGTGTTGTCGTTATTACTTTCCTAAAATTTTGAGACTACCTACTCAGCCAAGCTTCTGGCAAGGAGAACTTCCCCGCGTAATTATCGGCCTCCCCGGACACATCCCTGAAGTCGGCTGATATGTGCGATACGCAGCGCATATGCTAGTCTTGATGCTGGCTCTTGTCGTATTTGCCTTCACCAAGACTCTGTTAAACGCCAGACTCGCAGAAGACTGACATAAAGGCAGTGGAGGTGAAATGGAAAGTATTTCCGCGTGGTATCGAGACAGCGTGAACCATGTTGCTGAAGAATGCAAGCTTCATCCCTGATGGCGATCACATCAGCAGGAGATCTACATCATTTGGCATGCCAAACTCATCCTCAACCGGGAGAACCAATTGTGAAAATGACCAAAGTACAGACGCGGATTGAAAGCGAAGCAAATCAACTCCAGCATAGTCAGCTTGACTGATGCGCGGCAAGATAGCTTACGAGGTCAACCGGTGCAAAGAGTTCAGGACATTGAGATCACGAGCCTTTTACCCGAAAAGAGGAGTGTCTGTCACTAGTGTATCTGGAAATCCATAGAGTCTATTGTACTTTTTCTACGTCTAGTTTTGGGTCGGCATCACCACGCTTGCCTTACTCGCCTCCTCATCTTCCAATTTCCAGAGGCTGGTGACCGTTTTGGTCTGCAAATAGAAGTTCAAGCCTGCTTTGCCGTAGAAAGTGTTGACGCCACCGCCGGCGATGCTTGCCTTGTTTCCTGTGAAGCTGAACATAGGCAGCGGCACTGGGATTGGAACATTGATGCCAAGCTGCCCAGCCTCTACATTCTTCTGGAACCAAGAGGCAGCAGCACCGGAATTGGTGAAAAGAGCAACGCCATTGCCGTAGGGATTGCTGTTGACAAGTTGGG